GCCGTCCGTGTGCGGAAAGAATGCAAAATTTGAAATTGAAATTCATGGGATTAAGGATAAATTTTAAATACATGGTTTTTAAATCTTTAAAATAAATATATGTATTTTACTTAAATTTAACTGTATTTTATTTATATAAAAATAAATAGTGATATTAAATTTAAAAATTAAATTTAAACATATTATATCAAAATCATGTTCTCAAACAAACCATTAAGGAAGTGCACATATTGTGCAAGCGTAATTGAGTTGGCAAACCTTAGTGGAGAACAAGGACACGTGATAAGATTCGGAAGAAGTTTTGACCAAGTTTACTGTGATGCGTTTAACTTTCCCAGGCAACCCACCCACGATTTGCAGAAAGTGGGCAGTTTCAGGCTTCCGTGGAACAAATAAAAGAGAGTTTCTAATTGTTTAACACACGGCCGGCTAACCATATATGCAACCTGATAGATGCTCTTTAATTCTTAGTTCTTTGTAGTAATTGCTCATTGCTGCTCTATATGTTTCAGTTTTTAGCACAATACCCAGTAGAATTAAGTTGATTTCGACAGTCAATTAGTCAATCTAATTTGTGTAGTTAATTCAGCAACCTTTCTTCATGTAATAAACAACAAGCTTTTTGATTTTTGTTAGGTATTGCATCTTTTTGGACTTATTAATTTATCTTTTATTCATATTAGTTTTATGATCAATTTAGCTTCAATCAAATTCAATATCTTGTTTATATTTCCAGATGTGCAGTAGCATAATTTCCAATTCTAATTGTAGTTTGTAGCTTAATCTGGTGGAGGTTATATTTCTCGTCCTCATGGTCAGTACAACAATCGATATCAACCTACCGTGTAACATGTCATCCATAACACATTAGCTGGTAATAAGAAGAAAGATGATCTGGTTGAAGCCTTTGGAAGTATGAGCATATGTTCTATTGATGATGAGACTAAAACCAATATGGCAATTGTGCCTGTTTATGGAAAACCCTTGGACATTTGCATGATGGAATTCCTTCCTTTGCCGACTTTCAATATTTAAGGCGTGTTAGTACTCTTGTAGTTGAGCTTGTGGAAGGATGGTTCAACATGCATTTTTATATTTCTTGAAGCCGTGGCTACAAGAAGGATGGTTCAACAAGCATCAACAAGCATTTTTATATTTCTTGAAGCTTTACTATCATAATGAATAATGTTTCCAATTTTTTCAAATTTAATGAGACATGTTACACTCCGTACAAACCATTGAATTCATATGCAGTATATTAAAATTCCAATATGTTTTATCCACATTTATTTTGCCAAATACCTTTTCAAAAAGTTCACTCAATTCTTGTTCATACTACCTTGCTTATTTGCTCACATTTTCTCTTTTACTGATGATG